TGCGCAGTCCTCCTGTCTCTTGGTTTGACTTTCTTTAGTTTGTATTAAACCAGGCACTGGTGAGCTAGCATGGCACCAACCGATGATTTGAATCTGATGTCACCATGTGGTTTGCAGGCACAGCCTTCAGCTTCTTGTAAGGATTTATATTTGTGTGGCTGCACAGGTATAAGGAGGAGCACTGCTTAGCCTGCAGTGTCTGCTGGAAGATGGCAGGAAACTGCTTTGGATTCTTATCCCAAGCTGAGCTAGAGGACTGGGTAGAAATGCTTCCTTCAGAAAAGAGCATTTGATACAGAATATAACTTCAACTTTGATGTGCAGTCCTGAATTTTATTTTATTTTTTTAAATAGAGACCTCCTGAAATAGTGAGAGTGGGTATTAATGATATTTGTGGATCAGAGTGAGCCAAGAACACTCTTTAGAGGAAACAAGCAAAATAATGAAGGCTGCGCACACAGAGTGCCTGACCTGTCCTATCACAGCACAGCCTGATTTCCTCTCCAGCTGTTAAAAGGAAGCAGAGGCACAAGACTTAGTGCCAGAATTTGGTCATGGTGGAGGTCTTGTTAGGAGTAACAACAAACATAGGATATTTGCAAGGTGATTTTGGAAGTGGGGAAGGAGAGAGACTGCTCTGCTTTTTGAGGAAAATCTTATAAATGTTGAATGTGAGGAGATAGAACTCAGAGTTTAATCAGTTTCTTCTGATTTGTAAGCAGTGATTTGTCTCAGTGAAACAGCTTTTTAATGGAGCTTGTGATAGGTAATCTTGCAACTATTTCTTTATTTCAGCAATGTTTTTAAAGAAGTCTTTAAATACAGTTGTTTTGGCACAAAAGCCTTGATGCCTTAGGAATTTACAAATACACTAATACAAATAAGCTGGAGATGTGAAATAACTCTTCTTTGTCTAGCTGGCTTGCATCTCTTAACTGTGGCGATAGAGGTTGCGTGTATAAAATGTTGCTCGGGAAATGGCAGTGGTTGACTTGGTACAGTTTAAAAATTGCATGTGTAATGGAAGATAACCTGCATGGTTGCTTGTGAAATAATCATTTCCTTCCCCATCTTCAGCGTGATGACTAATATGCTATCTGGACACTTCTTCTGAAAACTTGGAGTTAGTGATAAATAAACACATGGGGGAAAGTATGCATGATTTTTGATTAAAATATCTTTCTGTGTGCATATATGTCAAAAGTTCAGTTAATATTTTTGTGGGTAAAAATAAGCAGTGACCCCTGATTACTGCCTGTGTTCTTCTGAGATACTAACAGTAGCTCCTATTATTTTTAAATGCTTAAATTAGCCAGTTTAATGCCACTCTAAGGGGCTTCCTTATTTCGGGACTTGTCTTGGCAAATGAACGGAAAAATTTGTTTATTTCTTAGAGCTATGAGAATACTCCCACTTCAGGAATAGCTAATAAAATATTTCTAGTTAACTGTGTGGCTTTGAGGGGGGATAGTAAAACAGATAATGTTCTGGGTTTTTTTTATTTTTAGAAACTGCTTTCCTCCACAATTTCTCTGGTTTATGTGTACGTTCTGAAACTTTGGACAAGTTGCACGCAATTCCACTTCAGTAGGGTTTATGTGCATGTATGTGTGACATAGGGATTTTTTTTTTCTGGTTTACTAGAAAGATTTATCTTTCCCTCCCCTCTGCCATTTCCCTTTTGTAGAGTGAATCTCTGGTGGTTTGTGATGTTGCTGAAGATCTGGTGGAGAAACTGAGAAAATTCCGGTTTCGGAAAGAAACCAACAATGCTGCCATTATAAGTAAGTTAAAAAACATGTCTGACAAAAATTGCAAGGTCTTGCAGAAAATTCCATGTCCTCTTTTCCTTCCCATGTAATGCTGCTGCTGTAACAGGTAAATGTGAGCCAAGAGGCTGTTTCTTGTATGTACTTCAGTACTTCCAATTCTGCCTGTAATTTTAACAGTAAAGCAGCACTGTTGTTATGTTAAGACTTCATCTGCTCTTATTAGAGTAATTTATACTTAATTGTGTCTCAGAGTCTACCACTGGCTGTAAAATGATAGTAAAAAAATGTCAAGGCACAGTCATTTTGAGTTTGTAAATTTTGTAGCCTTTAAGTATTTAAAGACATTTCTATCTTTGAAATTTGAGAAAAGTGTATTGCAATGAACAGCACTTGGACTGTGCACTTCTCTTGACTTCAGTGATTTAGAAGTCGTGGGTAGACTAAAGAAGCAGAATGGAAACACAAGGAATATACTTGTGGGAAAACATTAAAAAGCTTCCTGCATATATTGTATAAATCAATTAGAAAAAAACCCAATATTGATCCATGTTTTATTTTGATTTGTAGTGAAAATCGACAAGGATAAGCAGTTGGTGGTACTGGATGAGGAGCATGAGGTTTGTTAAATGAATTGTAAATAAGAGTATCTTCAGCCTGCAATGTATTGTTGTCTCTAAGGTACTGCCTTAGTTTCAAATTGTTATCAAACTCTTAATCTAATTTGGGTCATGAGCTTATTTAAATGCATGGTCACTCTGCATGTAAAGCACAGCACTATTAATAGTGGAATTATGCAGAAGCAATTGACTAATTGCACAAAAAATGTTATTTTAAAGCTGTTATGATGCACCGATGTAAAAAAGCATCTTTGGCACCTGCTGGCTTTTTGAGGAGATTTCTGCTGTGTTTCCATGTAGATCTGCATATTTGGACTCTGAGCTGATCTGCCATCAATTAGAAGCTAGGATTGCTAATCCTCTGCAGTCTCTAAATTTGATAGGTCAGCCCAGCGTGTAGGGTTTCTTGATGGTACGTAGGGCAAAATTAAATCCTTCCCACGGATTTGAGCATTAACTGTAGCTCTTATTCCCTAGAATATAGAAGTTAATGTAACATCTAAATAGAATGGGGACTCTTCTTCACTTGCTCAAGGAGGAAGGACTAAATTTTTCAAAAGTACCATTTATGTAGCTGACTTTAACAGATACTTTTTGGTGTGTGCTTGCTTAATTCTGTTTAGCACTAGAGTTAGAAAAGCATGGTAGCTGCCAGCGTATCCAGCTAGAGCCAAAAATGTTTTCTAAACTCATTATGCCTAAAATAGGGATGATTATTCATGCTAACATTAGTTCTTTGTTTAGTCATAGGAATCTATTAGTGCACAAGTTTTCCTAAACCGCTCTAGTAATTTGTGCGAGAGATCATTATCAGTTCAACTGTAGATGTACATTTAACTTACAGCTGTTTCACTGTTCATTATTCTACTTTAGCCTTCATAGTACCTTCAAGTGCAAGATCATTTGTTCAAATATTGCTTGTGTTTAATGTTACCAGGGTATTTCTCCTGATGAGCTAAAAGATGAGCTGCCCGAGAGACAACCTCGATATCCTTCTTATGCTGCTGGTGTTTGGTATTACTCACTCCTGGAAGCTGTTCCAAATGTTCAAAGTTGGACTTCACCTTTTTAGGCCAATACTTGCCTGTAGTGCGACTTTACGGATACTTTATTTGTGAGATAACCCAGGGATCAGGTCTCATGATACACTGAACAGTTGTCCCGTTTGTTGAAAAAATGGTTGACACATTTAAGCCTTTCCCAAGATTTCATTTCCTTTTAGACTACATAATGTTTGGGGAAATAAAGCGAAGCCACACTGTTGTTAATGTAAAGAAGTGAGTAAAATGTACCAGCTTTGTGTGTGGCTACTTCTAAATACAGAAAAGTGCCTGTGTAACTTAGGACCTGTTTTGGTACTTTCTTAGCATGTGGCCTTGCTATTTTGCTGCAGTTACTGATTCTGGGAGTGCTACAGGCATGTGATCTAGGGAGGAGTCCCTGTATATTAAAAAAAGAGGGCAAGTAAATTATTCTTTAACTAGAGAAATGAGGGGTACTCGGAAGCTGCCATTCTGAGTCTTTCCTTTCATGACCATAGTGCAGTAAGAGTCCTACCTAAAACTTGATTTCTAATTCAGCAAAACACCTGAAACAGTGAAGTGCTTAGTCTTTCATTAAGCCAGAAAGAGGTTTAGTGGGAGAGGAATATTTGTGATGAAAGGGTCATATTTTAGCTCTCTGAGACAGTGCTCACACCCAGCTGTGGTAGAGGTTGGTAGACAGGAGGGGTCAGTTCTGAAAGTCAAATATGGAAGTGAAAACAGGAGAACAGTGAGACTGCTATCAAATTTAAAGTATCTTCTAGAATGCAAGATTTATTTGTGCCTCCATCAACCTCTGATAAGGTTAAAGTAAAATCACTGATTTCTTAGTTTCTTTAACCTCAGAAAAAACATTTATTGTGTATAGTTACAAGTATCAGCATGATGATGGAAGAGTTTCTTATCCATTGTGCTTTATCTTCTCCAGTCCAGTTGGTGAGTGAACATTGTGAATGGTAGCTACTATGTGCTGTAAATACAGGAATGTTCTTTGCTATGGAAGATAAAATGAGTGCTTAATGCTCGAATAGTGGTTCAGATGCTTAAGGCTTGATTTATTTATGCTACTATAAAGCTATGGCATTATCTGGAGACCACCTTTGGCAGAGAGGAATCTCTAGTGTGTCAGCTTCATCCTCACCATCAGCTCGTGACAAGTGTTAACACTTCCATCTGCCCAGATCTCCCTAGTTGCTGGAGGTTTTCACTGCCTCTGGGGTTTATGTTTAGGGCAAGTATGTATAGAAAGTATGATAGAAGAGATTCTTTTCAATTTCTGAAGACTGAACAGAAGTGTTAGTTTCCTGCATAGCTGACCAAAAGGTTTGTCTTTCCGAATGTGCCTGCCTGCTATGTTCTCAGTGGTGTGCTCAGCAACACCCTCCTGTAAAGGAAAGGTGCCTGGAGTACTCTGCATCTGTTCATGTAGGTTTAACCAAATGTGTTTCCTGTCACCCTCTCCTCATATCTTATGGAATCCTCAAAATATGGCTGGACAAGGCTCTGGAAATGAGTGAGGAGAGGACTGGAAGATACCACCTCTGTTCCTGAGAGTTTCTGTTTGCTTCTGCCCATCTTGCTATTAGGGTGTTAGTGACTAGGTGGAAAGAAATTCTTTCCTTGTCAGAAGGGCATGGGAATCCCTATCTACCCACGAAAGGGTTAGGATGGGGTTAGAGAGAAGGGTTTTCCAGGGGGCCTATATGCAATGGGCAGCAACAGAGGGTGCCTCCAAACAGTGCTGTGATGTGAAGGACTATGAGTGAAAAGGAGGAACAGAGTGCTCCTTAACCCAGATCTGGGCAGGTGAAAGTGCTGGGTGAACTGACTACGTTCAAGGAGAAAGACTGTAATCTTAGACCGTCCCAAGTTTATATAGAGCAGTAGTTTCCTCTGCTTGTGTCACAGCAACCCTCAACGTAAACGTACCTGTGCAAGGAACTCTCTGCTTTTAATAGAAGCCAAATAACCTGACTTGATTTGGACTGAGAGAGCTGAATTGCTCCTGTGGCTTCCATCTGTGTTCTGAATTGTCATAGGGTAGCTTGCTGGTATTGCTGGATTATCCTTGTTATCCTCTGGAAGAAGATAAACTGATTGCATTGTTTTACCCTTCGTTACTCAGAACTAGAATAACTAGGTAGGTAAAAAAGTTTAGCAACTAGTGATCATAACCTTCTGTAGTTGCCTGAGAATCTTTGTTCTGGGTGTTAGTTCTCTTCTGAAGGATAGATATTTTCTGAGTTAGAACAGCAGTAAGAAACTTCCTGGGAGACCTTAAAATAGCAAAGCAGGCAGACTTAC